GCTAAACGGCAGAATATTTAGCAAAAAGAAATAATTTTGGTAATCCTAACTGACCTAAAACAAGAAAAGTTTAGTCCGAATTAATGTCAGAAAGTGAGAAAAGAACAGTTTTATGTCTTTTTATACAGTGAATGTAAACTTCTGGTTTCGGCCGTATTGGTCATGTTGTTATTTGAGATGCACAGAAGCAACGATGAGTGAAGTGGAACATCATCATTTCCCAAACTCTCCAGTGTTTGGAAGACGTCTGGCCTAAAGCCGTTTGCGTGTAGATGAGAAACCCGGATCCTTATTAGCGGGAAAAGGCCTCAGACTGTGTGAGGCCCTTCTTCAATGAACACAACAATCCAGTCTTTCTCTGTGCGAATGCTGACCTTTATTATATTTCATTTATCGCCACACTGATGATGGGCATCACTTCAAAGGAGCATTCAGTAAGTTTGTTTGCTTCTCCTCAAACAAGTTTTAAGAGGAGCACATTGAAGAGAAAGCTGGACGTGAACACGATCCCTGCTGCTTTTTGGTTCGGCCTGTTTGTACAACCGACTACAGCATGAATAAACCCTTCATGGGGAAACCTGACGATCAGATTTCACTGTGTTTGATATTCCTGTAGCTCCAAAGCTGAAGTCACAATCCTCTCAGGTAAATTCAGCTCTCAGCATGCTAAGAAATGTTTATTAGAAAGGTTTATGGATCCTCTGGAAAGCCTTGGTGTGTGATTAAACCTATGGCGTGTTGATTTTAGTCACACTTACAAAATGATGTAAAAGCTTAAAACAGAGAGAGAGAAAAAAAAAAGAGTTCAGCAGAAGTTCAACCCACTCAGAAAAACCTTTTGGGGAACACTTTTGCAGATTCTTTCTCCAGAGCAGCCCAACCCATCGCCTTTCTCCTCTCCTCGGTATAAATGAGCCTTTGGTGTCGTCCATCTGGGAGGCGAGCTGCTGCCTTCTTGATATTCGGTTTATCTTGACATCTCTGAATCATTTCTGCTGAGCAAATGTGAATTTCATGGAGCTGTTTGCTTCTTTGATCACTGATATACATCTTGTCACAGGTGACTGAGAAGAAGGAACAAGTTGTAAAGAGGTAACCTATAAAAACATGTGTAATAGAGATTCTGCTCTGCTGTTGGGATGTGGTGCTCTTATTGCTCTATGAAGGGGAAACATAACTATTACTGAGCTTTCTATGTTTGCACTATGTGACAACCACACAGCACAGAGAAGAAATGGAGAACTCCAGTGAGGTCGTGTCTTTTGTGCTGGCTGCATACGGTAACATTGGGAAGTTAAAATATCTGTATTTTAGCGTAATGCTGTCGTGGTATGTGTCCGTCTGTGTGGCCAACACGTTCCTCATCGTGGTCATATACGTGGACAGAAGGCTGCATGAGCCCATGTACATCCTGCTCTGTAATCTGTTTGTGAACGAGATCGGCGGCAGCACGTCACTCTATCCTCTCCTGCTCTCACAAATGCTGTCCGACAGCCACGAGGTGAGCCTGCCGTGGTGTTTTCTGCAGATGTGTTGCATCTACACGTGCGCCTCTGTTGAGTTTTGCAGTTTAGCAGCCATGGCCTACGACAGGTACATCTCCGTGTGCTACCCTTTGCACTACAACACCATCATGAACACACGGAGGGTGCTCAGGATCATTGTGCTCGTCTGGACGTATTCGCTCGTTAACTTCATGTTCTCATTTTCGTTCATCATCGGTTTGAAGTTTTGTGGCAACGTCATCGACAAAGTGTTTTGCGATCACCACTTAGTCATTAAACTCGCGTGTTCGCTTTCAGTAAACAGCTACGTGTCTGACGTGCTTTTTGTCTTTGTGAGTTTTGTCGTCCCGTTCGGTTTGATTTCAGCTTCCTACATTAAGATTCTGGCAGCTTGCCTGAGCACGTTTAAGGAAAACAAGCAAAAAGCCGTGACCACGTGCGCGCCTCAGATCGTCTCGGTGTCCAACCTGTTTGTCGGCTGTGCTTTTCACTTCATCGACTCCAAGTTTGACGGGGCTCATTTACCACAGAAAGTCCGAGTGATTCTGTCTGTGTATCTTCTCATTTGTCAGCCGATGATCACCCCGTTTATGTACGGACTGAACCTTCCAAAGATAAAACAAGCTTGTAAGAGATTTCTGTTTGATAGAAAATAAACATTTTTCTTCAGGTAGAGTCTGTTTTGGAGCATTTTTTTTTCTATGTGAGAGTAACACAGGGTGTGGTTAAAAATCATTAAAAACCCATCATGTGTTAACATCATGTGCAAAAATCACAAAGCACAAGTTGTTTTTGTGAATTTTTTGTACTCGTGAAGCCACAGAAAAGCTCATGTTCTGCATTAGTGATGTGCAGCTGCTAGTTTGTGCTTCATCCTGTGAAGCTAGCGGCATTATTCTGGCACCTGGTGAGTAAAACAACACATTACAGCCAAACACAGGAATCAATTCATAAATGATCATGTGCAACTTTAACATTCCCTGTAGTGCAAATGTACAATTATTTTTAATATTAATAATAAACGATGCATTTAAAATAAATCAGTAGTTTAATTTCTCATCTGAAAAGCTGCAAATCAGAGTAACTAAAGCTTTGTTTCCCCCCTCAGT